GAAACATCTTCAGCATCAATGTGTTGACACCATGTATCATGTTCAGGTTTCCTGCTCAAAGTAGGTGGTTTAGGAATAGGGCCTTTTGAGAATGTTATTATTTCAGCAAGTGAAATATGATGCATGGTAACGAGATTGGATTTTGTTTTATCTACACAATTTTTAACAAAATTCATTTAGTATTTTCAATATTTAATCTTCAAAAATTAATACCCTTTTAGTTTCTAAAAACATTAATTATCAAAGTCTAGGATCCAAGTTACAAAAGAAATTAAATGGTTAGGTGACATTTATTCCTTTTATCTGAATTTAACTAGATAGATATCGGCTATCAATATGATACAGGTCGTATTGGTTGTTACTTCAGCAGTGCCCTGTTTTCATTTATGAAGCTCAAGAACTTAGAGTATTATTCGCTAGTTAGAAAGAACTTATCAAACGAATTATTAGTCAGAACATCAGATTTAGAGGAGTCAAATTATCAAGAAGCAACTGCATTATTTCATAAGACATGTTTATTTTGAGCCTCATTCGTGAGCTTAAAGTCTTTAGGATAACCAATGAGCTTATAACAACGCTCAATGGTATAACCCTTAATATTATAATTCTTACATTGTAGATTTTGATTACTATATGACTTATTCCTTTTAGGGTCATTAAACTTACTAACAAATGCATATGCTTGAGGCTTTGTGGAAGAGTGAGAATGGAACCGCTTTTCCGATTTGACTCCCATCAAGAAATAATAGAGAAAGACACTTTAACATTAGGGTGGTTCCAAAGAGGATTTGTCTTTTAACCTGATTGAATGTATCATCCAATACAGAAATAAAACTACATGAGTTTCATCAACTTGGAGTGATCATTAAATTTGGCAAATGCATCACAAGTACACCCATTCAGATTAATTAGCCCATCAAATTCCTTCCACAATGCATCAAGTTCGCTATAGTAATCATAAACAAAAATTCCATTATAGGCGAGTGAATTAATTTTTTTGATGCAGATTAAACACAATAGATCCATCAACCTTATAATATGTTTCAAGCAATTCAGTTCATATATCAAAAGCAATTTTCAGAACAAGCATGACTAGCATATATAGACTCATAAATTAAACCAAGAAACCAGGAACATACAACATCATTAAACCTTTCCTATTTATGTATTTTAGTTTCATCCTCTTTAGGTTTAGGAAAGGTATTATCAACAAATCCTAACTTATTTCTACCTTTTTAAAGCTCTTAACATAGAACTCCTCCAAACGATAACGTTTTAAGTTTCAGTTAGCTTAATACTAATTATAGAAACAATACCATTATCAAATGGATGCAAAAATAAGGGATCATCAAAGTCATAATGATCATGATTCTTTGTACCAGATCCAAAAGAGTTTCACCAACCATGTTTACTACACACTATACGAAAAATGATTTATATTACCAAAAAACTAACTACCTATATTGAACCAAATTCTACACCACTTATAGGCCAGAGCAAGTCGGTACATAAGGAAACAAGAAAGAGCAATCATCAATAGTTTGTAAGTAAACACACAAGAACAAAAAAAAAACACAAAAATTATAATTAAGAAACAACAATTAGAAAACAGACAGTTGGTACACAAGACCAAGACCAAATAAAAACATATAATCAAATATCATAAAAATACTACAAGAGGACTCAAACAAACGAGAGGTGTGCAAAAAACTTACAAACCTCTACCAAGTGCTCCGCAAACAGTTATGTAGAATACTATTTGATCCAACACATTTAGATCTAACACTGATTGGATTCAATAAGCATCCAAATGCTAGATTGCCGCTAAAAACAACCGTTTGAAACCTGATTTAATGTTGACTCTCTAAGATAGTGTTGATCGTTAGAGGTAACGAAAAGTTATCTCTAACGTTTACTGCTAACCATCCAGGTTGACGAAGATGAAGGTTTCAACAAGAAACATTTTACCAAAAAACCAGATATACTTCGACCCAGAGGCACGTAAACGAGCTACTTAAAATACACAAAGATCGAACACAAAACGATTCAAATAAAACAGATCTAAGATCGAGGAGAAAATTCAAGCCAAATCGACACAAAACCCTAAAAGAACACCAAAGAACCAACCGATGAACAAACCACGTCGATTTTAAAGAAACTAAGAGTTAACCTTGCTCTGATACCATGTACAAAAACTCAAAAAGAATCCAACACCAACTATTCTCTTTATTATTTTAAGAACCATTTGGTTTACATCAACTTACAACTCATACCTCACTATAATCACTTTCTCACTTATATAATAATGATTGGAGAAGAAGAAAGTAAATGTAAAGTTACAAGCTCAAGAATACAACTGGAAGAAAACCATAGAAACCCTAGACATAGTTTAGAAGATGAGAGAAAAAATGTAAGAGTAATTGACATGAATGAGCTAATCCACCTCAAAAAGCCTTTCAGTTTTCAATGTAGACCGGTTAAAATATCGGTTCTAGTTCGGTGCATACCCAGACCAAACCTGGTGAATCCGACCAGAATAGGGTCTGCATGCAAATATAACTTCGATGGAAACGAGCAGTCCCCTGACTTAGCACATACACACTCAGACCCCTTAGAACTTTCATCTGACACCTCTGTCATTTACCAATATTAGATAACACACCCATTCAATTGATTAATTACGACAACTTAAACAATCACAACTTTATTAACAATATTGATCATGAATGTATATTATTTTCAACACATAATATATGAAGCAAACAAGCCCCCATTATACACGTTCAATATGTAATGGTACGTTTTGTTGAATATAAGCTTATACAAATTATTTTATTGAAAAATGAGGTGTTTGATCTACATGGGAACACATGTACCCAAAACGACGATAGAGTGATCATAATTTTTGTCTTCAAGTTTGGAACACACCCAAATCGAAAATTTGATGACAAGACAAAACCCAAGTTGGTCGAACAACAGAGAGTACCCTTCGATTTAGAATCTCAAATCACTCATGTGCGATTAAACTTCATCTAGAAAGACCCTGTGTAGCAGCAATGCATGAATAAAAAAACTCTTCCCCTGACACCAAGGATCCATCCATCCAAAATCTAAAACATGTTGTCTCATAAAAATGATCAAGTTATCAACGTGTTTATTTTCCACTAAACTCTTGTTAGCATGTTACAACGATAGTTGAAACTGAAAAATGGTATATGAAAATACCAATTAAATAGTCTGCGGAAAAAAACACATATATGGTATTTTTCGGAGGATACACTTGCAAAAATATCAAGATTGGCCTACGATAATACCCATTAATGGTATTTTCGCATGTATACCTTACAAATTAATAAAATGGCATTCAAGAGTACTACAACTAGCTATTTTCATAGGTCCCCTACAAAAATACCAAAATTTATATGCGATATTACCTATTTCGTAGGTCAATTTTGGTATTTTCGTAGGTATAACGTGCTAAAATACCAAAGAATACCTACAAAAATAAATAATCAAAAGCCACTTCTGTTAAATAACAAAAAGGTCAAAAACTCATTTTTATCACTAAAAATGGATAAACACTCATCTTCGCAGACCATTTCCTCCAAAAGACACGAGAAAACGTTTTTTTTTTTTGCCTAATTTTTTTGTTTAAATGTCAAAACTAATCAATCCATATGACTACAAAGAAAAAGAAACTTGTTACATTCAACCTATTGTACTCCTATTTAACCATATCACTCAAAAGTACTTTTTATAAAATGAAATTGATAGTTAGAAAATGAGACTGATAGTTAGAAAATGAGACTTTCGCTTTAAATATGTAGACCAATGATCAATCACATCCTCATAGGTTGGTCTGTAAATGAACCGAACGAACACGAACGGGGGTTTGTTCATGTCCGTTCATTTAAGTTAGCTGAACAAATAAACGAACACGAACGAATAAACAAACGAGTTTTCTTGTTCATGTTTCTTCGTTTAACATATTACATTGTTCATGTTCGTGAATATGGCAAACAAACATAAACGAACGAACATAAATGAACAAAGATAATTGAACATATATGAACATATAATATAGTAATGTAATCAAACACGATTAATTATATATGAACATAAAAGAAACTTATATGAACGAAAATAAACAAACGTAAACAAACGTTCAGGAACATAACTGAACGATCGAGACCATTGTTTATTTTCGTTCGTTTAACTAAATGAACGAGAATTTGTGTTCATATTGGTTCATTTATTAAATAAACTAACTTTCCGCCGAACAAATCACGAACAGTTCACTGTACATTCAACTCTACTCATAGGGCCTACTTCACAGCCTTTTCTTGCAAAATTTATGATTAGTTTGAATAAACTTAATTTTTATCTAAATTTCAATAAATAATTAATTTCTCTTAAATAAAACCACCTATTTACCCTAAGTGCCACCAACTTAACACTTTGGAGAAACTTAATTCCCAAGAAGTCACAACCAAATATATTCTAATTTCCACATAACCATATTTAAATTAAAGAAAATGGTTGGGCGTTGCAACTTGCACCCACGTTGGAGGTGAGGTGCTTTGTCCGTCAAAGATTCTACCAAAGAATTTGGCACCTACAAAATTTTAGGAATATCAATATATCACTATCCATTTCTTGATGTTCCTCAATATAAGACCTAATTTCACCCATTTGTAAAGTTATTGCTTAAACGAGTATCAAAAACTTTATTTAAGACTATTTGGCAAAAAAAACACAATCATTCAAACTTTTTTAAGGTTAAAAAAGATTATGATTCTTTAACCATTAGTATAAAATTTTGATTCGTTGAGAAGCTATGTCAAATACACTGAATACCAAACTAATATAAATACTTTTATTTAGGGATTTTTAAAACATCCTCTTACCGACAAAATATGAAAACCTATTATTAATTTATTTATTATTGAGAAATATGAATCCATTATTGTTTTTCAAGAAGATGATGACATTCCAAGAACACTTTCCCTCCCCCTCTTTCTCACTTATCCACGAATTTGACACGTTCATCGTCTTTTCCTTTTCTCCACGTGTGTGACATCTTTCTCTGCAATAAACTTTAAAAGAAATGTCGACAACATGCACGCTATCCCAACCTAACGCCTTCAATTCGCCATTGTTTTCTGTACCCACTTCCAAAAACTTCCGCCCTCATTCCAATCTCGGTTCTATACTCCCTTCGTTCCAGAATCCCCCCGATTTCACAGATTTCGATCACTCAAATCTCTAGGTTTGCATTCTCCCCTTTTCATCGCTAATTTTTCTTCACTGTTTTCGTTTGATCTATGATTATTTTGCTTTCCATTATGAAGGAAACTGAAAGCAGATCCTTTAGGAAAAAACCAGTCAACCATCGTAAATATTGAATAATGTTTAGGGTTTGATGTATGTGTTTCGTTATTTTCGCAATTTGGTTATTTGATCCCTTTACCCGTTGACATCACTTGGCGAAATTAACGCAATTGATCTCATTGCTCCCTAAATTAGAATCAATTCTGGACTTTTTTATATTCAAACTTCGGTAATTTTAAACTAGAAATTGAAGTACGTGTTCTTTGTTTCCTTTTATTTGAAATGACTCCATTGTAATGCTTGTTTTCAACAGTTGAATCTACTTACCGATTCCTTGTATATATTCACCACCAAAATTTCTTGTCGATTTATAAGTCATGAAGTAATCCAGTTGACTTTAAAAGTTATATTTGGGCTTTTAAAGAATTGGGGAGATGATTAGTTGATGATTTTTTTCTATGTTTGATTCCACACGTTGTGTTTAGAATATGCAAAAGTCTTTGTGACGAAATTTACTCGATTTGTGTAGTATCTGATATTAACTTTAGTGGTTATCATATGTGGGATTGGGAGTTGGAACTCTACCATCTGGACAAAGCACAATTGGGTGTTTTACTTTTAGAAACAATATTGGTTCAATCTTGTTTTTGTAGAAGACTTTAAAAACAACAGTTTCAATTCATACTTGTTGCTTAATTATGCGATTGAAATGCATGTATAATCATGTATCATGTATGACTATGTTTTCTTTTACTTTTTTTAATCTTTTGTGACATTTGCTCAAATATGCTAACCAGGTTACTAAATTCCATAGTTTGCGACTTGCTCTCGCCCAACGAAAATGTCTTCCCCTAGCAAGAGGAGAGAAATGGATGTCATGAAGTTGTAAGTCTTGTTTCTCATAATTATATAAGTTGTACTGGTTAGCATTTGTTACACCAGACAAGACATGACTACTAGACAAGCTTTCCAGGGTAATTTTGTAGGATTGAAGAGGGTATTCATGTCTTTATGCACTAGCGAGTCTCTATCCCATATTGTTTCACCTTTCTGGATAGTGGGATATATTAGTCCTTTTTGCTAATGGCCCCATACGCGCGAGAGACACAGACACAGTACATCTTGTTTTGTCATTTCATGTCCACACTATCATGATATTATGTTTGAATTCAGGATGATGAGCGATTACATCGTGGATACACCAAATGATAGGCTTAATGAATTTAGTGTGGAATTTCACGGGCCAAAAGAAAGTGTGCTTCTTACCTCGCTTCCCCAATTTTTTAAAATATTCGAATTGGATTGGATGTTTGAGCTCTAACTTTTGGAGCTGTTAGGTTTTTATGAGGGTGGTGTGTGGAAAGTTCGTGTTGAGCTGCCGGATGCATATCCATACAAGTCTCCTTCAATTGGATTCGTGAACAAAATCTTCCACCCCAATGTCGACGAGCTGTGAGTACATAATACGTGATTAAAAGTTAATTCAAGCATTATTAATGGAAGCAAAAGCAAAAACGACTTCAAAAATGGTGACAAATCCGTTTATGTGTTACGTTTTTCATGTTCTTGATACTTGACATTCTTGTTATTGTCCGTTTTTAATCAAAATTGCAGGTCTGGATCGGTTTGCTTGGATGTCATAAACCAGTCCTGGAGTCCAATGTTCGGTATTAAATCTTTCTTTTTTGCATTAGTCAACAGGAAAGTAGGGAACACCCGTACGAAGTTGTTCTAATTCGTTCTTAAATTGCAGATCTTTTAAACATTTTCGAAGTCTTTCTTCCTCAGCTCTTGTTATACCCAAATCCTTCTGATCCTCTCAATGGCGATGCTGCTTCATTGATGATGAAGGACAAGAAGCAGTACGAAGAAAAAGTTAAAGGTCGTATTCCTTGATTATAACACAAAATTCCAACACTAATAGATATTTTATCGTCGATCTTTGTGATTAACATTGGTTCTATTTAACAGAGTACTGTGAGCGTTACGCAAAGAACAATGGTAAATCCGTAGCTGAAGAAGACGACAGCGGTGAGGATGAAATCAGTGACGGACAGTACACTTCGAGCGATGATGAAATTCCAGGTCGTGCAGATTTATAAGCGATTGGTGTTAATCTGTTAGGGTTTGTGGTTGTGTTTTAACGATTGTATAACTATGATCCTATTTCAACTCCCGATTGTAAAACTTGTACAATTTACCAAAACCTGCAAATGTTTACAGTATTACGAATTCAAATGTAGTTATACTTCCTTCTTTGTTCTTGCAATTGGTTTGTTTTTTGTGCTAAAAGCAAACAGATAGCCTGCATAGACCAAGCCAAGATTAGTATATTGATCACAAATGTCAAGAAGCCGGCCACTGTATTCCATTTTGACCATTTCCAGCCGGCTAATCTTGTAACTTGTAAGTTCTTCTTCTTCTTCACTCAACTTCAACTTCAAACCTTGTTTACATCTATCTTGCTGAATTCATTCCGCTACATTTTCAATCCAAAAATGGATCAAATTAGATCCAATTTATTTGTTTCGTTTTTGTTCTTTTTACTTTTTTCATCAGTAAGAACAGAAGATCAAAGTGTAATTCAGGCACTGGTCACATTCATGGATAAACTCGCGCCAATGCAAACCACCACAAACTGGGGATGGAACATTTCGTCGGACCCATGCACAAGTAGATGGGTCGGGGTTACTTGCGATGGAAGCAACGTAACTGTAAAAAAAATCGTCCTTGAGAATCTTAATCTATCGGGAACACTCGATCCTGGTTCACTTTGCAAGGTGAGTAATCTTCTTGTACTTAGTCTCAACTTCAACAATCTCACCGGAATCTTGTCGCCTGAGATTTCAAACTGTAATCGTCTCACCCATTTCTACCTCACCGGAAACCGTTTTTCCGGCAATCTCCCCGATTCCATTACAAACTTACCAAATGTGAAACGGATTGTGATATCTAACAACGATTTCTCCGGCGACTTACCGGATTTTTCAAGAACCACAAGTTTGTTAACGTTCTTAGCACAGAACAACCAGTTCACAGGTCAACTTCCGGGCTTCAATTATAATCAATTACAAGATTTCAACATTGCAAATAACAATTTCACCGGTCCGGTTCCCGATGACACGGGTCGATTCGATGGCAACAGCTTCGCGGGTAACCCGGGGTTATGCGGGAAAGTGTTGCCCCGATCGTGTCCGGTTAAAAAGAAAGAAAAAGAGTCAAAATTACGGGATTTTTTTATTTACTCCGGGTATGCGGTCCTGGGGTTTTTAATTGTTGTTCTAGTCACAATCATGTTAGTCAAGAGAAAGAAGAGGGGGCAAAATGAAAAGACGGATTTGTCCCCGAAGAACAGTTCACGAAGCGGGCGATCAAGTGAATCGAGAAATAGCAAGAGGTCGGAATTCTCGTTGACATCGGTTGAAAACGGCGGGGTTTCTACTTCGATGGTGGTTCTATCGAGTCCCGTGGGTAACGGGCTGAGATTTGAAGATCTGCTTCGTGCACCGGCTGAATTGATTTCAAGGGGTAATAATGGAAGTTTGTATAAAGTGAAACCGGAAGGTGGGGTTTCTCTTGTTGTTAAAAGGATAAAGAATTGGAAGATTTCGAAAGATGAATTCAAGAAAAGAATGCAGAAAATTGATGAAATAAAGCATTCAAATGTGTTACCAGTTGTTGCTTATTACTCTTCAAAACACGAAAAGCTTCTGGTTTATGAGTATCAGCAAAATGGCAGTCTCTTTAGACTTCTCCATGGTGAGTTCCCAAATTTACTTCATTTTTTCTTCCATCTCAAAAAATAATGCGCTTTGCTTTCATTTTTTTCTTTCTACTATTCACCATTATTGCAGGAAGAATAACGTTTTTACAGAAACAGTTTTTTTAACAAAAATTTAAATAACTTTTTGATTTGTTGTTTTAGGATCACAAAACGGGCAAATTTTTGATTGGGGTAGCCGGTTAAGTCTCGCGTCTAGTGTAGCCGCGGCATTGGCATTCATGCATCGGGAGCTTCAAGACGACTTGATCGCGCACGGAAACGTAAAGTCATCCAACATTTTGCTAAAAGATGACATGGAGCCGTGTGTAAGCGAGTATGGGCTAATGCCAGCAAATCACCAGGACCCGGGTCCCAGTGACCAGGACCCGGGCCCAAGCAGGACCCAAGATCGCACAACCACCGGAAATTTCAAGGGTGATGTGTATGGGTTTGGTGTGGTTCTGCTTGAGTTGCTGACCGGGAAGCCGGTTCAGGACAATGGGTCGGGTTTAGTGACGTGGGTGAGGGCTGTGGTTCAAGAAGAATGGACAGGGGAGGTTTTTGACAAGGCGTTGATAGTTGAAGGGGCTAATGAAGAAAGGATGATTAGGTTGTTGCATGTGGCGTTAAATTGTATTAATGGTTCACGAGAGGCGAGACCGATGATGGGTGAGGTGGCGACGATGATATTGTCTTTGAAGGAAGAAGAAGAGCGGTCTATGACCTCTTCTGACCCGTGATGATTGTTAATCAGATAAAAAATTTATGAGCATATTTAATTGTTGTAAAAAACTGAACACCATTGAATTATTTAATTTCACGAGCTTAAATAGTTATGTTATGGTATCAAAAAATCTCATTGGGGATTACCAAACAATAACCACTAGCTAAACCAAACTGATTCATCTCGTAGATGTTTATTGGATGTGTAGTATGAGACTGATTATCCGATTATTTAAAATGTTTATTTTATACATGTTGTATATTTATTAGTAAATGATTTATTTAAACATATTAAATGATTTATTTAAACAAAAGTTGTGTTTTAGAAATCATTAAAGGTGCATGAATGATATCTGTATACATATGCATTATATGGTTACCTACACGAAGGTAGGTAGGTTGTACCCACCACAATGGAATGAGTTGTTCTATTACGTTATAATTTGTGTGGTCCCCATTGTTGAAGTAAGATTAGTCACATCACTAGTCATATTTCGTGACACGAGAATTCATATTATGATGCGAATGTTGTGTATGGAATGGGGAACAAGATAACATGATTATAGGTCGAAGGAGGAAGAGAAGACGCTAAATCTTTCCAACGTGGGTGTTTTCTCTATTGCTAATCTATATAAGTTAATTATATAAGAATGAATTGAGGGTGCATAGTTATTGGTGGAGTTTATGTCTCAGAAGGCATCATAATTTTAAAAGCATTTCGTGATACTATCGTTGTTTCTTGAGTTTAAGTCTCATTCAAAACGTTTTGTGATGAAGGAAAGGTTGGTTTGGATAGAGATTGAAGGCTTCTACTATGTGAGTGGACTCTAAACTCTTTTAAAAAAGTAGCATCTACATGGGAAATTGTCTTGATCTTATTCGCGAAAGGTGATTGTTATTATTGAAGATGTGAGTTACATTGTTCGGGGAAAGGAAAAAGTCGGGTGGATTCCAACCATAGAGGAGGACGAGGTTGTTACTTGTTACAGATAACAAATGATGCAACCTAGCGGTATCAGAAGTTGATGAAAATATATCATTCAGCCAAAGGTTGAGGGTTCAAGTCTAAATGAAAACAAAAGTTGTAGATTTATGAGTAGGATAGTGGATGTATGTTAGTGTGTTAGACATTTAAAAAAACCAAAACAAAACAAATGGCATATGGTTATTTCCGGAAGATGACTTGGAGAATGATAGGAGAGTCATGATAAGGGGGAAGATTACGAGTTGGAAGAACAGTTTCCAAACTCATTCGAGAAGATAGTGCATGATCAAGGCAAATTCATGTTTGTATGACAAATGTGATAATTGCACCCTAACATGCCAACACATTTACATTTGTACTTAAAAGCAACAGGCCAACAACTTACGTTTTTCAATTTTTTATTTTAGTTCCCGGTTTATTGTTTTCTTTTCTTCCTTAAGAACAATAAATGCTTTAAACTTGTAGAAATTATTTAGGAACATTTTTATACATGACTTATCACGCTTTTTCATCCATTTCCATTGCATTTGGTGTATATATGCACATGAGTATCATGTAATTTTGTGAAATAGTTGCTTCCATGTAACACAATATACTTTGAGTTTTGAGGTATTTTTCGTTGTTTTTGTAGCAACTATAAGCATGTTCGGCAAAACTAGCTGGTAGCGTTTAGTAGATAGCGGGTAGCTTATAGCGTTTTGTTAAACGCAACATAAAGTAGCATTTGAATTTGGAACATTTTGTTTAAACCAAATGCTAGAAGTTTGTAGTGTCAAACGAGACTTTCTGTTCAAAACGGAGCGTTTTGTCAAAAGCTAGAAGCTCTCAAACGCTCCGTGTCGAACACGCCCAATGTAGGATGCGGTGTAGCATCCTTAGCACCTCCTTTAACATCTCCCACCCCTACAGCCTAAGAACTTAGAGTGGCATGTGAAGTGTATCCATTGAAGTGCATATTGATATACTACATAAATGGAAGAGTCGATTAAAACGGCTAAACATTTCTTTAAGGATAGATAACTCTGATTTTGTAATGCTTTTAATTATATGAATTTACTTTCATCATATTTAATGCTTATAATAGTAATTTCTTTAATTCCCCCCCCCCCCCCCCCCCCCAATTGTTATAATTTTATTTAAGTATAAATAAATAGTTATCTATTAGAAATTTGAAATCAAATTAATCATTATAACTTGTATTGGTGTCTCTGAAAATGATGGTGGCCATCGACATGGTTAGGATATTAACCATGGAATATTCCTAAACGCTGCTTCGTATTATTACAAGTTACAACATAATGCTAATGGCAATGCCAACACTCCATTGCCAGGTGCCATCAGTTGCAATCAATAAGCAACAGACGCACAAAACGACAATAGAAAGCCATACAGGATTTGTACATTTATTCATTATATTGAAAACGAACATACTTCAAGTTTAACTACAGAAATCGCCTAAAATATATATACAAAGATTAACTACAGATATCGGCAAAGGATTTCTAGCAAAGGAGAGGAAACGTAATGGAAAAGTGTAGAAGCCTATAGAAGGAGCCATAGCCATGGAGGATTAATCATAAAAACAAATTTTTAATTCAAGAACACCTATGAAGTACAGCCGTTCACGTAATCTTACACCTTTCACTGTCCCCTCCTTGCGTTTATTATATTCACAAACAGGCCCCATCCACACGTACTAATCGAAAATTGAAAAAAAAAATCTTACCAAAATGATCTAGCGATCCAGATTTAAAAAAGTTCTAATCAAACAAAATCAAACCGGTGATAATTGAAGCTAATCATACGAAATTCGGTCCGATTGCTTCCTTACCGAGATCAGTCGATGGTTTAGAAGTTATCGGAACCGTCGTCCGTGATGCGTACCTTGAGGAGAAGTTGCGGACCATATACTCGTTCTCCATTTCAGAATCTCCGTTATCTAACGCTCCTTCGTCGAAATTGAGCGCATAATCTAGAGGATCGTACTGAAACTTGGGGGATTGTCGACCAAAACTTTTGTTACGATTAAACCGGCGTATGAATGTCTTCCATCTTGGACCTGCAACGATCTCTGACCACTCCCGAATCTTCATCAAGGCGTCGATCCCTCGTGACCATAGACTTCTTTCAGAATTGTACTCCGGAGACGACGAACGTACTTTCTGCCACTTGTAGGGTATGCAGAAACAACAACGGCGACTGGAATATAGAAATTCTGATGGAGAAGGTAAGTCATGGTTTGATTCAGTGGTATCTCTAGGAGAAAATTCAGTCGCCATCGAAACACATGAAGGAGGGTGAGTAAGGTTTTGAGTGTTCTGGAAAGTGAAACCCCTTTTCTTATGTGCGTGATGAGAAAACGCCCACTGTATTTTATAGACAGGCAAAGGGAATAAAAATACAAAAGAACAAACATAATATAAAAAGATTATAAGTCATTAAGTTGAGCCAAAGTCTTTACTCGATTTTCATTTTTCGGTTTTAAAGTTTACGTTATAAATAAATGTTATAAATTGGATAAAAATTCATTTTGTTTTGTGTTTATAAATAGTGTTAATCATGATAATAACAACGCCTATTGCTAATTTCGAAATAAAATCTAATGTCTCCACTATTTAATATTTTTATATGTTTTTAAAAAAGTATATAAATAATTAATTTGTTAAACATGATTACAAAAAGAGGTTATTATGATAATAATATGTATTTGTTTAAAATAATTTAAAAAGTTATAAATAATGTGAGCATCTTTCAAACCCATTAGGTCGTCCGGTATACGGACCACGAACCCGGTCGTGGTCTACGTGGCCACGGACAACGGCCGTGCACACCACTCCGGCCGGTCGTGGTTCATCGTTTTCGTGATGGATCGTGGTGCCTACGACGAGACGCAACGCCCAATCAGGGCTTCTTGACCGATTTCTTATCTCTCAGCCTTCTTCTGTCCCTCTCTTCTTTCTTTCTCTTCGTTCTCACCGGAAAGTACTCTGGTTGTTGTGGGGTGGTTCGTGGTTGCTCCGGTGGCTGATCTGGAAGCTCTCCACGACCGTTGTTGTGTAGAGTATAACGGATGGTCTAACAGAATTTTATGTATCATCTAAACTCGCTATAGATAAAGGGTTCAATGAGTCAAGATTGGTATATTTACTTTAGAAAAGGTATTGTGCTTTTTACCAAGCTTAAGTTAATTTAATAAAATATTACAAAAAATTCTAGATCATATCTAATAACTAATCCATCAGACAACTAGAACTGCAATTAATTCCCAAAGGGTACACTTCTTTTTATCTATTTTGAAGTCTACAAATGATTAGCTTATAAAATATGATTAAAATATATCGTTACAATACTCAACATCTCGAATAATACTATTTTGGAGATATTATATTAGATGGATACACATGAAATTCCTACGTTCAACCAATTTGACCTATATCATATTAATTACATATTTTAATTTAATCAATTTGATCAATTAAAAAATAAAATATAAGTAACTTTTTTTAGCGATCATGTAAAAATCAACATCAACCAAACATTTAGGTAACACCTCAATCAAGGAGGGCCCATCTCCTTTTTTTAATCTAACACTATTATTATTCATGAATTGTTTTATTAGGTACGAGCTGTTCCTTCATATTGGTCCCCAGAAGCAGTTTTTTTGTTTATCGATAATTAAAAATTTCTATTAAAGAATACATAGAATTGAAGTATATACAACTAGCCAGACCAATTAAATCTACACAAAATATTATTATACAAATGACAACTTAAGATTCTTCAAAAGATAAGTCGTCTACTTCATCATCTAGGCTAGTCTTGTTCAAATTTTTGAGAATTATATGAAGATGAAGAAGTCATATCTCATGATAGTATAGTATTCTCAAATGAATTACCAATGATTGTCAACGACCACAAAAGGACAAAAAGACAAAGAAGGTTTTAATGAGGAGATATTATCCAACTGTCATCCCTCTTAATCTATAAAAATCTTAATCTTAAATGTGCGATAAAGAAGTTAATATGGAAGTAAAGTTCAACATAATTCTAACTCCTAAACCTTTTTACACCAATTTCGATTTGACACTAAATTAACCTTTTTATAGCATTTTTGCCTTTAATTTGGTAATGACTTTTACCAAGGCTGACATGGCTTCCTTTTGAAGTATTGGGTCAATACAATCCACATCATATGAAAATAAAGTCAATTGAATGGCTGGCAGAGGAGAGGATCAAACCTATGTTAGAAATTGGTGTCTTAAGAATATAAATATACTTTGATATTTTTTGGATCAAGATTGCAATCATATTCCAAAATATATGATTTCGACCCTATAATATGGGGTATCACGAAATCAGATGTGGGATAATCCAAAGAATTTCAATTTAAAAGTCAGATCACTTTTAAATCAGAAACGCAGAAAAATATTATGTTGTTTGTGTTCTAGAGAGATAGAGCAAATCTTAAAATCAGATTTTGAGAGTATATGGTTTGTAACCCGTTTTCTAGAACATGAAGAATGTTCTTATGCCATAGGAAAAAGTGGTTATAGCAGTTGCCTCCAGATTTGTCGCCAAAACTGGTAGTTATTAGACCTAACTAACGCTTGCATCATCAAAATGTGATCAAGTGAGTTATGACGGGAAAATGCATAGGAGCATAGCTGAAGTTATACCCGATGTAAAAATCTGTTTAGGTTTCGGGGTGTTGCCCGTTGGAACCCCGTCTGCTGACCGGTCAGCTAGATATTATTATATTATTGTAATGAAATGTTTAGGTTGAATATTAACAATAAAGTTGCAGATTATATATACATGTCTTGTTCTAGTATTGATGATTCCTTTTTTTTGGTATGCTTGTTTAGGACATTTACATTATAAAAGAATGCTTGAAGATTTTTTTTTTTTGGATATTATTATTATTATTATTATTTTGGTTTGTTCTAGTATATACATGTCTTGTTCTAGTATTGATGATTCCTTTTTTTTTTGGTATGCTTGTTTAAGACATTTACATTAATAAAGAATGCTTATTTACAAAGCGATGATTCAACGAGAGAGAGAGAGAGAGAGAGAGAGAGAGAGAGAGAGAGAGAGAGAGAGAGAGAGAGAGAGAGAGAGAGAGAGAGAGAGAGAGAGATTTACTTTTTTTTAACTAAAAAATGTCAAATCATATAGATAGTGAGGCCACGTCAGCTTTAAGTTACATGGCTTATATAACCTTGTATATTAGGTTGCAGTAACCAAAAAAGCATGTCGACATCAACTTTATTCCTTTAAAGGGTAAGAAAATAACTTTAGGGACTGAATGCGCAAAGTCACAAAACATCATGGCCGGCTCTATGTTGTGCTTTTTTAAGCAAGGGCTTAGGGCCCCCAATTCTAAAGGGTCCATATTCTCCAAAGTCCAAAAGTTTAGTCCATTAAAAATCTAATCCGGTAACCACAAAATAAAAGCCGAAAAATAAATCAACGACCGCTGCATTCATGAAACTAAAATGACATTGCATTCATCTTCCGAGTATAGAAAAGGCCAAAGGGCCCCAAATATTTGGCTCGCTTTGAGCCTCCAAAATGGTTGAGCCGCTCATGCAAAACATAATAGGATCGTTGCGCATTTTCTCTTTTATAATATTTAGTATAAAAATACGTCTTTAATATTTTAACTTGCTTTATTTACATATATAAACTGAGGAAAAAAAATACATATCTAGTATAAAAATGCATACTTCAAACCTTGGTTTGAAAAATATGAAGCGCCCATAAGCCGAAGGTGTGATGAGTTTGCGTGCTCACACCTGAGGCGTCCAGTATTATCAAAGTACTTCAAATTTGATTCCACATAACATACTTTACCTTGTAAGCACTTATCTATAAAAATACTTTTACTTATAACCAAAGTATTTCCAAAAAACCATTTAAAAAAAAAAAAAAAGGTTAAACAAAAAACCATTAACAATGATGCAAACTACAATTGTTGGGCCGTGCTACAAACTAATGCTACAAACTAACCACGGGAATGTGAAAAATGGCTAGAAAGTCTGTTAGGGAGAGAAATAAATAAAAGGAAGAGGGCTTTCATTTAGGCATTGTTGTTATTTTGATAAAAGAGTATTGGCTCTAGCCTTGTGGCTGTGAGAGAGGGGTTTCCTCGAACAATCATTTGATTGTGTTAATCATTTAGAATCAATTTCATCATCTTCTTCCTTAATTATTCTTTGTTCTTCAATTTTTTTTAACCCTAATTTTGAGTTCTCATCAAACAATCATAAGCAATAAAAATACAAACAAACAAAAATTCACAAGGTTAGGCAATCATTTAATCAATTCTCTAATCAAAACAGCAAAAACCAACATTCTAGCAAAATTATAATAAAAATCAGAAACCAATCATGCAACACGCTGACAACAAATAACAACAAAAATTGCAAATATGAAAAAAATAAAAACAAAAACAAAAACAAAACAAAAAAAAAAAACAAAAACAAAAACAAAACAAAACAAAAAAACAACTCACTGGGAATTCGACATCAATAGATTTTTTCAGGGAATTAACTTGTTTGAAGAGGACACTTATACACTTTATTTTTCATGGACATCGATTATTCAGGAAATCGGTTTTCAGGGGAATCGTTTTCTTAAAACAATGTAGCAAGCCCAGCTTAATTGTCAAGTCTTTGGGTATGTTCGGCTCAAAAGCTTTTAGTTTTTTAAAATTAAAAATACAATCTCAGATTGAAGGAAAATAACTTCGTTGTATAAAGTTTTTTATTTTAAACAAAAAGCCCACAATTTAAAACCCATTTCAAGTAGTTACCAAGGGCTTTAAGGAGGTTTTAGCTTTTAACTTGTATTTATATTTGGGCACTGCCTCATCAGTATTCCTAGTCAGCAAATATGCCATGTAATCATTTTAATACACATTTGAATTGAAAGAAATGTCCCTAAGATAAAACCAAAACATGCCACAGTAAAAAGCTAATAGCTAAATGCAATTAAAGATAAAATGTCAGATTTACACAAAATCTGCAAATCCAGTTTTGTAACATATAAATGCTTCCACAAATTTAAGCATGTTTTTAGAAACAATCAGCAAGTTTAATATAATCAGCCATTCAAAAAGAAAACTCAGCCGCAGCAGTTGTTACACGTTAAATTGCCTTTGTTAGGGATTTATGGCGGGGATTGAAGAGGATTGTGGATGGGATTCAGAAGTACAGAGAACTTTGGAAGACAAAAGTTTTGTAAAATCCAAACTACCATTGTAGAATAACTAGTCAAAACTCTACCTAAGTAGAATACCCTCCATAAATCCCAAACAAATGCAATTGCAAATGTAATTCCACCCTTCCCCTTCAGTCTATTACTGGATGTCAAAGACAACTTTCAATCAATCACAGTCAAACAGACATAACCACGAAGATATCACAAAACGTGCTAGGAATGTGTTATGGATTTCAGAAACTAATACAGTACTGGTAATCACACAAGAGCTATTTACGAACAAGGAGCATCAAATGGAATTTGCTTACATGGAAAGTGCACTTCCAGCACCGCCGTGAACCACCCAGAACACGTCTCCAGCATCATCGGATTTCCCTGTATCAAGCGCAACAGCACCAAAAATTGCCCTAAAAGCACCACAGACAACTGAGGAAGTCGAAGAATTGGTATTCGAAGAGACCCTAACCACATTCTGCAACCCTAACCGCATTCCATCGACAGCACACGACGTCTCCACTTTCGATATCTCCGAAACTCGATTATTCAGATCCTTCGACGATATATCCACATCTTTAGTCAATAATCTGAGGGAAGCAGTTGTCTCGATGATTCTCTCACCAAGAATGCTTAAAGCTTTGTTGTTCTCTTCAGAGTAAGATGAGTGAGTCATCGCGCGGCGCAGAAGCCCGATGTTCTGAAAATCATAACTGCAGAAAAACAGTTACTCACTGAAAGCAACAGATAATAGAAAAAACTCGAAGAACGCTACTACTTAGTGCTCTTCTTCTGATAACTTACTTCAGATGCTTCTGAAGAGTTTCAAGTGCAACGGAGAAGGATGACGACCTTAACGATTGCGATCGAGCTGAAACCTGGTAACGTACAATCTTTGAGAAGTTAGGGTTTTACTTTCGAGTTGTAGAGACGAAGTGAAAATTAACAGTGTTGTTTGTGAGAAAATAATAATAATAAATCGTACGGGTGTACAGTGTACCGGCATTGGAGAGCAGAAGACGGCGGCGATGAAGATCACGGGGAGCACTGGGAGGAGATGCATTTTGCCGATGAAATTTGGAGGTGTCGAATTTCAGCGGCGATCAAAAGCTAAATTTCTACAAAGGAGTGATTCAGGTGATAAGAAAAAATATGAAAAAAATAATAATAATAAGACAAATTTGCAAATTTGGTCTCTTGGTTTTAAAAAATTGAGACTTTAGTCAACAAGTTTTGGAGTCGCTGGTTTAAAAAGTTTTCTTCAATTTCTCTTCCCTCGTCAACCTCCATCTCCAAAATGGCTCGTTGCTAACCCTAATGTGTTTTTGGTGATCTTGAAGGAAGAAGAAAGAAGTTGAATCAACTTGGAAGCTCAAGGCATCTTGGATGCACAAGTATTCTGCCCTCAAGCATTATTTTGAGGTATAAAGTTCGGATCTTGATGTATATTTGCTTTGGATCTTGCTAGTTCTTAGGTTTTTATGTTTTTAGTCCCATAATCTTTGGTGTTCATGAGTATGGATTACTCTAACCCATAAGGGTTGTCCTTCCAGACGTTTTTAGGTGCTTAGAACCATAAAAATGTGATCTTGATCTCTTTCATTTCTTCATGCATGAGATATGAGGTTTTAGGTTGTGTATTAAGTTAGGGTTTAGTTGTTGGACCTTTTAATAACCGATAATAAAGAACCGGACACAATCATAGTACCATGGGACTACCTGAAAGACGAGGCGAACAACAATCAAGGAAATGATGTGTAGCTTCCCAAGGCTAAGACCCAAAAATTTCATTTTTAATTTAATAAAACAGTAATCCTAAACATTGTCATACAATAAAGATAGACCAAAGTATATCACTACATCAAAAAAATATCAGAGTGAACCACAAAAATACGGAATAGAGGGGTGTGTGCTCTGTAATCATCCCAGACTCTTCCCTTTCGAACCAGAAGTACTTGTAACATAAACTGAAAACCGTAAGCACAAAGTTTAGTGAGTTCCCCAAAATACCTCATACCATACATATCAAACACATAATGGGCCCCGCCCGGTATACAGATCTGTCAATCAACGGGCCCCATGCCAATGAGTGTAACGGACCTCACCCTAACTCACATAACGGGCCCCGCCCACTGAGTATAACAGGCCTCGTCCTAACTCGCACAACGGGCCCCACCCAGCATACAAACATGCAAGTATAACAAGTAATAACATACATAATAACCTTTGGGCCCCGCCCACTAAGCATACGAACACATACATACACATGCAAGAGTCACGCATACATCTAGCACCCTAACATAATAAACATTGGGTCGGCATTGGTGCCTTCGACCCGATAAATATGACGAGGAAGACTCACCTCAGACTGTTGAATCTTACAGATAAATCTTTGGCAGCTGGTCCGACAATCCCCACGCTATCAGCATAAAATAACATCCAATTAATAATTGGATCCCAACTCTGTAACGCCTGTTTCCTAGTACGCATTTAATTATAACTTATTTTACTTTTGTAGAGCTACTCGACGAGTTGGGAGCCCCAGACTCGTCGAGTAGAAACGAGATTGGACGCGGGGTTTTAAGCAATCTACTCTACGAGTTGAGAGCCCTCAACTCGACGAGTAGGTCTGCCAGAGTGAAACCCTAATTTCGGGGTTTTGCACCCTATTTAAGCATCTTAATCCCCACCTTATGGCCTCATTTCCAGCTTCCAAGTCCCAAACCCTAATCCACGAAACCCTAGATCATTTTGTGAGTGTGTGAGCCATTCTTGAGTAATCTTTGTGTGTTCTTGAAGTTTGAAGAAGAAGAAGGAGCTAGAAGGTTCAAGGAGAAGTTTGAAGAAGAAGAAGGAGCTAGAAGGTTCAAGGAGAAGAGAGTAGATCCAGATACTTCCTTCCATCCTCATCATTTTTTGGTAATCAAGTCTCTAACTTGGCTATTAGTTCATTAGATCTCCTTAGTTCCATTTTATGAGGGTTTTGGTTCAAGAATCTTGATATTTGGGACATGGACGTCCCAAGTGGCTTACCTTTCAGATCTGGGATCTAGAAGGGGTTTCATGGCATAAAGGTGTAAACTTTATGACCATGGAAGCCCCATGCAAGCTTATAGACGTTATTATGGCCTTTTAAGCCCCAAAAGGCTATACATGGAAGAAAAGTCTGAGATTTTACGTGTTCATTTGGTGTCTAGGACTTAGATCTTGGTTTTCATGTTTTGGGTTGGAGTAATAAGGCTTTTGGACAAAGATCTATGTCCTAAGGAACTAGGGTTTTAGCTAAACACGCTAAGAAGGATTATTAGCGGGTAAAGTTGGAAACTTTACCCTTAAAATGGAATTTCCAGTGTGTAGGTGAAGTATGGACTTTGGATCTGGAGAGTAGAGGCTTAATCTGTTAAGATGGCCCAAACAGATAGAGGAACTCAACGAGTTGAGTCGTGTTGGCCCAACTCAACTTAAGGTAGAACTCGACGAGTCTGTGAAGGGACTCGAAGAGTTGATTCACCAAATCGCGACTATGAGTAGCCATGGAACTCGGCGAGTCAGGGGGTGGCTCGACGAGTTAGATCGCGATTTCAGGGTTCTAGGACTCGGCGAGTTGATGGAGCAACTCGTCGAGTTGGGTCAACCCAGAATGTTGACTTTGACCAGAATGTTGACTTTGACCAGCGGTAAAATGGACATTTTAACCCTTAGAAGGATTCTCAGTTTTTGACTAAGTGATTATTGTGATAATGATAGTCGGGGAGTTGTTAGAGCAGCCGTCAGAGATTCCTCACGAGAGACTTCACAGTTAGCTTACGAGGTGAGTTTTCCTCCAGTAGGAACGGGTCTAAGGCACCAAAGGTCGGTCCGTTTATGTATGATAGTATGTTCCGGATTAAGGTCCGATGTCGGGCGGGGCCCGATGTAGAATTATATGTTTTTCCGAATTTCGATCCGATGCCGGGACGGTACCCGAAGAATGTTAGTAATGCTTGATGTCTTTGTAATTCTTGCATGTTTATGTATTTGTATATTTCCGGATTACGGTCCGATGCCGGGGCGGTTCCCGAGGAATGTTTGCATGTTTCTGGATTTCAGTCCGATGTCGGGCGGGGCCTGAGGAATGTGTATATATTATAGCTAAGTAGTTATGCTTATGTTATCTGTATTGGTAGTTATGCTCACATGGATGGCGAGCTTTGCTCGATGCCGCGTGGGACCCGATGCCGGGCGGGGCCCGATGCTAGATGTGGTCTGATGTCGGGCAGGGCCTGATGCCGGGTGTAACATCCGGATTTTCAGGGATATTATCGTATATGTTAACCTTGAGGTTGAAGAAGAGACTCGATGAGTTAAGGGTCCAACTCGCCGAGTCGAGTCGAGATTGCCCGCGTGGATTTAATGAGTGGACTCGACGAGTCAGAGAAGGGACTCGCCGAGTAGGCGCTGGGCAGAGAAACCCCTAATTTTCCGGACTTGTGTTCTATTTAAATGGATTTAAGCCCTTATTTCCGCCTCCCTCATCTCCAGAGAGCCCTGTGGGAAACCCTAGATCAGTTCCATCCATTGTGAGAGAGAGAGATAGTGGCTAAATTGGGTGTTCTTGTGCAATTTTGAGAGGGGATTTGGAGAGCATCTTAGCTTGGATCAAGAGAAGGATTTGGATCCAGAGATTCTTCAGAGTTCTGCTTCAGTTGGAGGTAAAAAGATGTTATCTTGATCATTTCCTTATGAGATCTTGTTTAAGGGAACTTTTAGGGCTTTCTTCCATTTATCTTGTGTCATGGAGTGATTTGTGTATGGTTTGAGGTTGGGACCTCAGATCTGGACTATGAGTGGCCTTGTGAGTCCAGAAACCCGAGCTTTATTGAGTTGGAAGCAAGCTCTTGTACATCTAGCCCTTATTGGAGCATGTTTTGGCATTATGAGCCTTATATGCCATGCATGAACGTAAAGCTTGCAGCTTTACGTGCTATTCGAGCCTTAGAATAGTAGATCCAGTGGTTGGAGTGATAGATCTGCCTTAAATCGTCTGAATGAGAAATCAAATCAAAGGGACTCGCCGAGTCCATGAGCTGACTCGACGAGTCGGAGAGGGTTTGTCCCGATGGATTGATTGTGCGATAACTCGGCGAGTTGGGGGTCAACTCGACGAGTTGAGTTGGACTTTTGAGACTTCTGAGGATACGAGGGGACTCGACAAGTCGCAGGAGTGCACTCGATGAGTCGGGTCAAACATGGACTGTTGACTCGAGTTGACCTTTGTTGACTTTGGGGTTTTGGTCAACATGAGTAATAGAGACCATGGAGGGGTAAAATGGTCTTTTATCCACTTCAAAGAGTTAGAGAGAGAAAGAGCAGCCTTCGGTTACTTGAGTCGTGAAAAGAGTATTAATTAGAGATATTCATCCTTTGTGTTAGGCGGAGGCTAGTTCGAGATCCGAGCGCGAGGTTACCTGCTTACCTACTTGCGAGGTGAGTTTTCTCACTATACTTTACCTAGGGAGGTAATTATGTGTGACCAGAGGGTCTTATGTGCTTGCCTGAGATATGCATTTTATGTGTGATATGTGTTGTATGCTATGTTATGTGACATTTAGACCGGACCAGAGGGTCCAACGAACTATGCTATGTTATGACCGGACCGGAGGGTCCAACGAACTAGAGACCGGAGGGTCCTCGCTTAGACCGGACCGGAGGGTCCAACGAGTAGTGAGACCGGAGGGTTCTCATCCAGACCGGACCAGAGGGTCCAACGAGTTGTGGGACCGGAGGGTCCCACTGAGACACATTGGGCCAGAGGGTCCATCAGAGTATAGCCTCGAGTGACGAATTTGTTGTATGTGGTATTTTGGGGAACTCACTAAGCTTCGTGTTTACCGTGTTATGTGTTATGTGTTTCAGGTTGTTCTCAGGATCGCAGGAAGACACCGGCTTGATTGTACACACAAGTGAGAGAGTTACGTTTTGAGGATCCTGGATTTTAACCGAGTAATTAAGAAGTTTTGAGTTGTAAACTTAATAAAAGAGATTTTGTGAAATACATTATGAGAATTATGTGATTTAAAATGAAAAAAAAATTGTTTTGAAAATTCACGTTGTTACACCGGGCAGAGCCTGATGTAGCAGGGCGAGGCTCAATGTATGTGATATGTGATTATGTGTGGTAT